ACGGCTGAAAGGGCGAGCATGTTTGGTGTGACGGTGATTCGAACCCGCGACCCTCAGATTGTGAGTCGAGTGCCTTAACCACCTGGCCATGATTTCGGGGCAGAAGGAGAAACATTGAAATATGACAGCTTAAATTAAGACACATACAAGTTAAAACATGCACATACAAACAAGCGCTGTGAGTAACTTACTTCGAAACAGCCCAGGAACCAGTTTGTAGACAATATCTTTTTTTTTCTTCTTTCTGGGATTTTCTGCTGAAAATGTTCGCGCTCTAATATTGTTAAGTATGAAATGGAAAGTCTTGTAGATTATGAAATGCCTGTAGACGGAAAAGAAATAAAACTCGTTAATAGCATGTACGTCATTAATATCTGTATAAGAAAGTGAGCGTACCAAAATCTTCTGTAATGAAGTTTGTGATTTGTTTATTAAAGTTTTTACACTGCTATATACAGGGCTGACAAGACTCTTCCTACGTTACATTACCTGTATTATAGAACTAAGATTAATGGAAACCCTATTGAAATTACGTCAAAACTAAATAACTAAAATTATACTGACACTCAAAAAAACAACACTTTAAAAAAATTGTGCATAACTGAATATGTTAAAATATTTACATTTATTTTATTTAATAACAATTACTCAATGAGGCGTGGTTACACATCCCACAGTTGAGTTTAAATCCAGTAGAGAATAGCCATAAATATAAAACGGAAATGATGGATTTACATAGAGGAGAAACGTCACTACCGATCATGCGCTTGAGGATAGCTTATATATACGTTAAAGTAACGGTTAAACCTTTTGTGGAGCCTATGGATGTCTTACGTCACAACTAAAGACACTCGAACGCATTCGGAAGTCACACCTCCCTTCTGCAGGGGCGAATTGGGAAGAAAGGTATATATATATATTTCGAAAGCACTGAAGTTATCAGGTTTACCATTTTACGTTTAACCTAACGTTTTTATCCAAAGTGATTTCTTAGTATATTAAAAATATATCCGAGATGTGTTAAATTGAAATTTTACACACACACACAGAGTAATATATAAATATGTGAGTGACTGATGCAAGGTTTAGTACCACAAATGTCATATTGTAAAGAAACATAACAGTATGCAGCTATCTTCGCTGTCACTGTATATGTAAGGCAACTGGTTTAACTAATCCGATCACGTTCATGTATTTACCTGATGTTCACCAGAGGGCGTGTCTTGTGGACCTGTACATCACATATGGGGCAGAACTTACTGGATTCCAGATATCGCACGATGCAGGTCTTGCAGACTGAAAAATTCACCAACATATTCACCAATCTCTACTGCTATCGTATACAGATTAAATAAGGTATACTTACAAAAAATACAACAATGTGCTATTGTTAAATAAACCCTGTTATTTAAACATACGGAAGTTGATTTGATTATTGTTTAACAAACGTATATCAAAATAACTGTTGAGTACATACTAAAACAACGACAATGGTACGGTTATAAACCAATAATAGATTGTGGTTTAACAAACTTTTATTGACAGAGCGAAATCAGTAAAGTATTGCATAATGTCACGAACACTTCTATTACATCTTAGAGATACTTCTCAGACAATTTAAGAAACTTCTACGACACACCAGTAGCACATACATGACATTAACATGAACACTTCTATTACATGTAATAGAAGTGTTCATGTTAATGTCATATAAGTGTTCCTGGTGTCTCATAGAGATGTTTCTCAAATTGCGTGAGGTGTAATAGAAGTGTTCATGTTAATATCATAAGAATGTTCCTGGTGTCTCGTAGAGATGTTTCTTAAATTGTTTGGGAAGTATGTCTAAGATGTAATAGAAGTGTTCATGTTAATGTCATATAAGTGTTCCTGGTGTCTCATAGAGATGTTTCTCAAATTGCGTGAGGTGTAATAGAAGTGTTCATGTTAATATCATAAGAATGTTCCTGGTGTCTCGTAGAGATGTTTCTTAAATTGTTTGGGAAGTATGTCTAAGATCTTAGACATACTTCTCAAACAATTTAAGAAACATCTCCATGAGACACCAGGAACATTCTTATGATATTAACATGAACACTTCTATTACACCTCACATAATTTGAGAAACATCTCTATGAGACACCAGGAACACTTGTATGACATTAACATGAACACTTCTATTACATCTCAGAGAATTTAAGAAACACCTCTATGAGACACCAGGAACACTTATATGACATTAAGAACTTTTTTGTTTGTTTTTTTATAATGATATTTGATATAAAATTCTCCGACATTTCATGAAGACTTCTCCGATATGGAAAACATTTTATTACCTTACGATACCTTAAATAAAGTTTGCGATATCAGAGAGTTATTTTTACATTGCAGGGACGCTTTCATATCATTTCACTGCCATTCTTGTGACACTCAAGAAAATATCTATGTGATTATGCTAAAGATAAATACGAAACCAAATCTATCATTCGATTTGCCACTATTCACAGAGTTATGCCCATTTCGGGGAATTCCACCCCTCATCAGTAACCGTGGGCAAGGAATAGCAAATCGAAAGAACAAGACAAGGCGTCTTATATTTGTGGAGTGTATACTTAAAGTGTTGTGAATTGCCGGTTACTCACTACAGTAAACCTATGTTTATACAGGATCGAAAAACTATCGAGGACTGAAGAATAAGTATCAATGCTGCATATTCTTCCAAACCTACATAAACATAGGTTTACTGTGGTGAGTAAAAGACAACACCAATACGTATAATATGTAATTAACTTCCGTGAGCCCAGCATCTGGCATTGCGACATACAAAAGGTTCAAATAACATTTTTTAGTACTTAAATCATTTTCTGACGTAGCTTAAACGTGAGAGAGCAGCAGGCCCAATGTAAAGGATAGACGGCTGCCTAGGGCGCCAAATTCTCGGGGTCTTCCTCGTGAGTAAAACGCCAGGTAGGCTATCGCTGGCCCCGAAGACCAGAGCTAATGCTTACCAAACACTTAATTATTTGTATTTTGATTTTCGTAGCTTATGAATAATTTTTTTTTAAAACCACATTACGTTTGTTGATTATAAACGAGTACCTCATTTTGAATTACCATGATTTTTGTGGCTCCTATATTTTGTTTTAGGAAACATTCATTCGAAAATTAATATAAACTGATTGTTTGTTTCAAAATTTTTCCGCAAAGCTACATAAAAGAGATAGATATCTGCGCAGAGCTGTCCCTAAATTCGAACTGGTGGTCAACGAGAAAGCAAATTTTCAATAGTATATACCGCCAACTCCCGGACTATTCCTATATGATCGAATAGCGGTACTTTGACCATTACTGTTATGTTGAACCCATACTAAGTTCCCAGAAAACGAAGCGCGTTTCTGTAGCAACGGGACAAGAACCATGAACCTCACCCCTTGGATTCACACTCCCAGCATGCCGACCACTGGATCATATCCGGCCCGAATGTAAAAGAGCAATACGGTTTCATTCATATAGGCATAACAAACTGTAAACAGTGACGTGTTGAAAATTTAGCATGTGTAATTGTGTAATCAGGTTTTTTTTTGGTTTTTTTCTACACATAACACATACCTGCTAAGTATTACTTCAATGTATTTTAATCACCATATGTTTACGTTTTCTCGTTCGTACTTCTCGTTAATTTATAAATTATATTTAGTTCTGATCTATGGTGCTACGGTTTGAATGGTGAAGCATAGAAATTAACAGGTCTAATATTCGTGATAAAAATTACGTTAGACTGCATACATGTTTTTTTTTTCTTTCACATTTTTATTAATTTATCCACTGCATATTTCAAAACACATTTGTTGCATTAGATCGAACCCGTCATCTAGTCCGGACGGAGATACACTATATTTTACCAGAACCCGTCAGCTGATTCGGAAAATGAGACACCAAGGTTTACCAGAACTCGTCAGCTGATTCGGACGATGAGACACCAAGGTTTACCAGAACTCGTCAGCTGATTCGGACGATGAGACACCAAGGTTTACCAGAACTCGTCAGCTGATTCGGACGATGAGACACCAAGGTTTACCAGAACTCGTCAGCTGATTCGGACGATGAGACACCAAGGTTTACCAGAACTCGTCAGCTGATTCGAAAGATGAGACACCAAGGTTTACCAGAACTCGTCAGCTGATTCGGAAGATGAGACACCAAGGTTTACCAGAACTCGTCAGCTGATTCGGAAGATGAGACACCAAGGTTTACCAGAACTCGTCAGCTGATTCGGAAGATGAGACACCAAGGTTTACCAGAACTCGTCAGCTGATTCGGAAGATGAGACACCAAAGTTTACCAGAACTCGTCAGCTTATTCGGAAGATGAGACACCAAGGTTTACCAGAAATGCAATTTATGCACTAACATGTTCTTTACCACGAACAATATGTTTATTCTGAGCTATACAGATAGATAACATTTGATCAGAATATATTAAAAACAACAACAATACTTAAGCTGCACAACAACATATCATTGAGTGTAACAGTCGCAATTTAAGTTTACTCCTGAAAGAACTTTGGATTAACCAAGTAATAAAACAGCACCGAGTAGAAATAGGTTTTCTTTTTAGTGTTTCATTACCTAAAATGTTTTTTTTGGGGGGGGGAGCATAACATAAGTAAAAAACGCTGAAACAACATTTTACTACAGGTTACAACAGTAATATATATCTATCTAAATACACCTACTTGTTACTATGACGACAAGTATGATTGACGAGGAAGAATCATCAACCCTCCCATCCACCCACTAATAAACAGTAGCTTAGAAAGGTGTACAGCTTTCAGATTCCCACTCGTTCCACACGATTATATTCCACAACCACCTAATATTTTCTTGGATATAATTTTTAAAAAAGGCCTATTTATGAACGGTCAGGTTAAGCATGCCACGTAATGAGTGAATAAAATATATTAAAATCTCAGTGCGTGATCGCTACTCGTGTTTACATTCAGTGTGTTGTGTGGCGCTTTGGGTAAGGTTTTAGAATTGGCAATTACTTTAACAGAATTGTCTGGATTTATCTAAAATTTAAATGTTTGTATCGATCGGCGAGATGTCAAGTGGAGAAGAATAATTTTTCACGAAAGAGTTGCGTATTTTTTTTTTCTTTTATTAGAAGGGCACAAGTTTTTCTTTTATATGGATTGAAGCAAGTTTACTAATTAGTCACATGCGTATTATTATTATTATCTAAATGATTATGTTATCATGAATGCCAATAACACCATTGGTGACTATGAGTAATAGACGGTTTACCAATCAGTTTCAAACCAATTTTTTTTTAAACGAATATCGACAATGGAAACATAACTTACTCGAAGTGTTACCGATATACTAAAATCAGTGAGAAATTGATGGGCGTGTGGGTGAACCGTAGATTTACACGTGCAGTACAACAGGGCCGTCTAGAAAAACGTCATTAAAATTTCAGCACACGTGCTATTTACGAATCAGCAGATGGGAGAGTATAAGAATTATGACAGCAATTTTCACGAATACCGCTGAGAACATAATAGTACAACGAGTAACAGCCATATTCTGCAAACGTCGAAAATAATGGAAATATTTTGTTCAAGACAGAAATGTAAGTAAACGAACAACACGTTTTCTTTCAAATATTTACTTATGTACTTAGTGGTTTGGTAACTTCTTTCTTTCCTGGATCAACAGTGAAGAGTATATATTAGGGATGAACGGGCAATAAAATTTGGATGAATACCGGGTCCGGGTACCTTGGTTACTAAGCTTCAGCCGGGACCGGGTTCTCCACTTGCCCCCC